TGAGTTACATAATTTGTAAAAAACACGTAATCATGTTATCTTTCATTTAAATTTTAAGTATATCATTTTGAATCATGGTTGCGTAATATAATATTACTGAACATTAAACAACTACTATAGGTACACCATGAAGACAAGCTGCATCTTATTGGCTATTATTTTACGGTTAGGTAAATATCTGATAAATCCACTGTTAATTCGAAATACTAGATTTATCAGATTAATGAGTGAAAAATATGTACTAAATTSGCCATTCAGTTATTTACATAGGTATTATAAATATAAATAATAATATAAAAAAATTAAAAAGATTGATTAATCCAGTAAGACACTTCTGAATCGTGTACTTGGAAAACATAACGAACATAAATTATCAAATGTAGCTTGGTGTGGCCCCGAAAGTCTATACTCAGTTTCGTACGTACCAGTCGGCGTTATTGACACCGGCCTGCTCCCAGATGGATGATCACCCGTGAAATTGTTATTAATACCTAACGACAAAACGCTTGCCAAACGTGTTTCAAACCAATCGTTCCACTGTTCTACAAACAACTAATTGCTATAGTTTCCGAGCTTAGGATCGATAAAAAAAAATCGAATCAAATTGTCACCAATTTTTCTAACTAAAAATATTTATTTAATATCTAATAATTTAATAGGGATAAAATGTATTAAAAAAATCATAATAAAACTTAAATGGATTTTCACAAAATCTTTAGCATAGGTGTACGTTATTATCTATATTCAAAATTATGCTTTCAATGAATATCTACTGGTAAAACATAATATATAACTTTAAAATCAGAAATTAAATCATGGCCTAAGCTATTATTAAATGGATGATACGATTAGTTATAATTTATAACAAATCCTCTTACTACATCAGTATCTTTGTCTCGTTAAGTTGACTTGTTTCTGGTTTCAGGTGTTTTGGATATTTTACTAGACCAAACTTCGTCAAAGACACACAAGTTTGAATCACACTCGAAACAGTTTCTCCGATAAATGGATAATCTCTTGGCAGGTTTTTAAGATGTCAAAATATGTGCTCACCTATTCTGCTCGGAAAACTTAACTTGAGATAACAACTGTAGTTCTTAGAAAACTTAGTAGTAGATAAAAACAACTTGACATATACTTTGTATGTGTTTAGCGCATTATTCATGATAATAATCGGTTTATATTAAAGGAAGTCTCTAACTTTTTACACCTATAGTTGCAAARGTAGAGAACAATAAAAAATTATTTGTAGAACGGTAGCCAACATATTTTWAATWAAAAAAATAATGTAATAATTATATTTTTTATACCAAAGTCCACAAATGTATGTACCTAAAAACTCGTATAATTYATATTTTGTTAGATTTCGATAGAAACTCTTTGAATAATTACAATATAAATCAATTACATAGTAATCAAAATATGTATTTTATTGCAATAAAATATTATTTGAAATTATTGAATTGGTGTCCCTTTATATAATATTATGTTTGGATACTTAAATTCATAAATTTTGCWATCGATCATACCTTTATGTCTATGACAGACCATAATATTGTACGTTTYCTCAAATATCAAATACTATTGTATTGTATACCCAAAACGTTTTTAACTTATTTAATATATTGTACAACATATCTTATAAACTAAATCATACCTTTCAATTATATTCAACATAAATCAGCTATTACCTACTTTTAAAAATATTCATACGTTCTGATTTTAATATTTTAAAATGGCTTATTTCCAATAATAATGGCACCTATGAAAATCGTTTACAATCTAAATTTTTTTAATTACTCAAGGTATTTTTAGTGCTATACGTTTTTATTTTATTCTTACTTTAGAATATCAATTCTCGCATCATCTAATCTAAACTTAAAAATATTTACTGGTATTTAAARGTAATATCCACCCATAATTATTCCAACATATTAATTCACAGTGCAATGAAAAMCCATCCACCGATTGATTGAATTGCTTAAAATCGATATCATTTATATCAAAGAAGTGGATGCCATTTAAAACCTCCTACCGTATAGCAATTTATATCAAATTATTTCAAACACTGTAAAAACTATCGTTAAATTTGAATGACTATATTATACATTGTAAATTTACACGTATATGCAGTAACTCATAGAATGTAAACATTATGAAATACGCGTACACAGTATAATATGTACCGTGTTTATCGAAATTAAATAAAAACAATAATAATGACGTATATTTAAAAATCTAATGGGCTAGATAAAAATATTATTCTTTCAAAAAATAGTTTATTCCCACAATGATGGATTTGTCCATGTCCACATTTATTTYGTAAGCTATTACTGAGTCATGAATGTATTTCCCAACTCATACACCTATATAAATTTTATTTGATTATTTTTTCGAGCAACTTTCTGTAAATAATAATATACACTTGAAATGGTATTCATGTTTCGTTTAAACTAAGTTTTAATACAATGCAGGGTTTTATTGGAATCAATGAACAACTACTTGGGCTACCGGATATATGGGAATGAAGTCGAGTATACCCAAGTTCCGTGGACTTTTAATTATATCCTAAGATATTAATTAATATTTTATAAATTATGAACCATGCGTAAAAATGGTAGGTATCTACCTACCAACGATATGTGGTTAGTGCATGTAATCACCACATGTTTGTACTCAGATTATGACCTGGTTTATCTTCAGTATAACAGCTTGGAGCCTCCGTCGAGATAATTGTATTGTAAAGCAGTTCATTGATTACATTTTTTTTTCGCTTATACATATTTTTATATGTTTAAACGTGCAGATTATTTGTGAAAAATTAAACTGAGAGAAATCCGGATGCTCTTTTGAGTAAAATAAAGCTCAATAACGACATTACACTGGTGGTGGTGGTGCAACCGGTAGTGGTGGTGGTTATGCGGTATACTAAGGTATTTAAAATATATCATTTTCTCCTGAAGCTAAACATTTTCTCAGCTCTACAAAGCTTTTCTAGGCTAAAGGTAGGTACTCCGGTTTTGACTATACCTATCTATACGGTATACAATACAGTGACAGATGCTGTACGTGGTCGGTGAAAATTCGTAACGGCCAAACCGCACCCAAATGGCGTTGCCAGTGACATATATTATGACGTGCCTGAGAATTTGGGTTATATATATATGTGGTAGCTTTGAAGAATTTAATATATTATTGTATACACCTACACACTGACCGGTGACGCCGGTGCTACCACCACTTCTCAGTCCTCTTCCAGTYGAGTACAACACACATCCCACCACGGACGTTATCCAGTGGTGGCACGCGCTTTGACCTCCCTTTCCCCCCATACTGGTAATTTTCATCATCATTCTATTACCACAAAATGCGTTCGTATAATATAGTTAATTCTTCTGCAACCGAAGGAGTCGAATCGTGCGCGTTCTTGACATCCTATAGGGTCGGAAGTAGCAGTCGGGCATCCGATGTTATATATTATGTTATACTTTATATCTTTAAGGGCCTGTAATATGCGTGTATATTAAAATGATACAGTTTCGTAAAATTATTATTTGTGTAACTCGTGTCCTGCGAGTAAAATTCTTTTCATAAAATAAAATATGGTATAACCTTTTTAGACTACGGTGCTGCGTACAAGGCAAACAAAACAAATATCATTATATAAATATTTTTATTAATGTTGTAATAACTTTTGATGTTGTAGCATATTATACTCCGTTAGTACGTCAGATGTATATATATATATTTTTTTACACAAATACATTAATAATCTTATGACGATGGTTAGACGACCTACCTATTTCAGGTGAAATTAAATGAAAATTGTAGTTTTATKTATGTTTATGTAACGTGGTGGGTGTTACGTTTTAGAAACGCGTTAAGATCAATATAGTCTAATAAACACAAAGCACTGTTAGTTATGTTCATGCATAGTAGGTATAACTTAAAGTTGTATATACGTTAGACTTATGACATATACATATTACACCTGTTTCAAAATTTTAGGAAAATAAACATTTTTCCGTACCATTTGGACATAAAATACTATGCAATATAGTGTATTTATGTGTATTTTCTCTCAGTAAAATATATCCATCAAAAACGTGACACTCCTATCTCTAGTCTACCTAACCTCTCCCTTCACCCACCCACCTACCAACCCACTCACAACACCACAATAATCTGCCATACCGATCATTATGCAACCGGACAACGGTGTAGGAATGTTCTCTTTCGCGGTCGCGTCACGCACCCTTTCGACCCTTTTCCCTCTGACGTATATATATATACCATAATATTATATACATATACTTGTATAATAATAGTTTGCAAGTTAAACGTAATGATCGACGCGCGAGTTTTGGGTACTATATCATATTATTGACAGTACCTACTTTCCGTTTGGCGATGTGTGGTGTCGATTTTTATGTACCTAATTAAACTTCATATAAGTTTATTTTTCTGTCACTTTCATGGACCTTCATTCTATCGAAAACTTTTCACGTGAAATTTCTCCACTGCCCGAGTAGTTTTTCGTGGTCCATCGGCTTTTCACATTTCGTTTTTAATAAACGAACAAACTATATACTACACACGGGTGTGTGTTGTGARTAGAGATGGATATACACGCACGCCAATACGATATATTATTTTCATTTAAACGTTCGGAGTGTCCATCACTGAGTAATGATTACTCATGAGTCATGGATGTCGTTCTCTATATATTATTTARGTAAAATAGGTACCATAGAAATTCCAAACCCGACATGTACATATTATTAATATCCTCAAACCAACTTTCCACCTAAAGGTCGAAACAGTTGTTGTTGACGTGTGCGTTTGGCAAATAAATATATATCTTCAGTTGGTTAGAAATTATCATCTTTATTTATAAAATCATATAATGATTTAAAATATTATAATTAAAATGAATTTCCACAATACAGTACGATATTCAAATTACCTACATATTAAAATTATTTACTATATTTTTTTAGATGGAATAATCAGCTACACCATCCCGTTGGATGGATCTGCAAATGATAGTACAGACGTAGCAGATCTCTCGTACGATGGTGTGGTGCTAAATAACAAAATCCAAGGAGGTCTCGGCCGTTTGGTTGATGGTGTGCGYGGAGAAGATAACTACAAAATGGATATCGGTTACGGAAAAGGTAACATTTTATGTTGAATAAAACAAATAATTGAACTATTCACAAGCATAATCTATTATATTATAACGAACAGAATCATCATGGACATATTGTGATGTTTATATACTATTACTATATATAGACATATATTATATAATATATATGTAATATATACATTATTGTATGGCAGCAATTCGTACGTACCTTTCATAAACCCGGGCCGCAATTCGTACGTTATTTAGGGTTTGGGCCGCAACTCACCAACACTGGGCAGAATACTGTGTAAATAAAAAATCACTTTTATGATTATTAAATGGTTTTATAATCGTTTCATAAAATGTTTCAGTCATAATACATATCACTTAACTCTGTATGATTAACAAAACTGTGGTTTTTATTATTTTATCCATTATATTATATTGTTTTTAATATTAATATATTACATACAAACATTAAATTAATTAATTAAATGCTCAACTTTAAAGTAATAACCATTTTTGACTACGATGCACCACTGGTACTATAATATTGTGACTAATACCCGTATAATAGAGTTAATTAATCTAATCTGTATATTTTATGATGCAATATAACGGCATCCGTTTAACCGATAAAATATACCAAAAAGTAAAACCTCATCCTCCAAAATATATTATCCAGAAACGGTAAGCACGTAATATTAATCCAAGCGACAGCAGCGTTCTTATACGTAAATCGCTCACGAACGACCCATTGTTAAATATATTATATTACGCGCACCTAAATATCTGTCTAATTTTATAGCTCGTTGTCGAATAATAATTTTACTTCTTCTGTACTGCTGTGTTCGATGGTATAAAGTAGTTATATTAATAACGATAATATATTATAGCTTACTATAAAGAACAACGACTACCTACAACGATGATGATGATGATTATGATGATGACGATGATGAGAATAATAGTAATAATAATAAGAGTAGTCACTTATTTCAATATTCGTATATTAAATATTTAACAGTTTAAGTATACAGTATATAACAATAATAGTAATAATATGCAATATTATTCTCGTACATTATTATTATGATTATCATTAACATTGCGGGCATCTGCGGGTGTGACGGCAACGGACCGTTTTATTCAATTAATATTTTTCCTGCGCGCTAAACTTTCGGAGCGCAGCCGGTTTGTGCTCGCGGAATGTGACGTTTGTAAAAGCTAATGATATGGACGTTTTAATAAGCCCCGGAAAACTTGCACGCGTTCTGCTGCAGTCTCCGCGTGTATATAAATAATAATTCATGTTTCAAAATCCCCGGCAATAACAATAACAAATAAACGTGCGTAACTTCGGAAAACGAAAGCCTTATAATATTTTGCGCCAGTGACGGGGGGGTCGATGATCGGCATGAAGAGAGGTGGCGAGCGGGGTACATTGTGGGTGAAGGAGAAGGTGGATGGTTGGACGGAAACGTAGGGGTTCATTATAACAGAACGGAGGTGAATGTATATATATAATACATAATATAGGTATATAATATTGTTATACGCGTATAATTTTGAATATTACGACTCTCCGAGCATGACATGAAATACGATAAAGTAAATCGGGGAAAAACTATATACTAATGGAACAACGGGTAATGACTGYGGGTTCCCTTCTCCTCCACACCATGTCCCTGCCGCATTCTAAGAGTTATTTAACTTTAACCCTTGAGCCTTCTACTACATCCCTCCCAGTGTCATTTTTTTCATTTTTTTATATATATAATATTATTATTATTATACATATTATGTATCGAGTAGAGAAATATATATGTGTATAAATATTATATATACATAATAGACATTTTTAATACAGTGTATAATGAGAAAACCATAATAAATGTATAAATGTGATGGGGTGAGGGTCATAATAAATTTACACAGTACAGTGGCTTATAATTACAAGTACAAACCACCGTGACTGTATCACACACAAGATTCCTAAATAATTTATACCGAAATTCCTATGTCATACGAATAAAATTTAATTTTAACTCACACTTATATACCGATATAATACAATGATATAAAAATAATAGTGAATTGCATCATTACTTTCCAGTGCC